CACGTGAGAGGTGCGACGGGGAGGAGTTATCTGTGGGGAGAAAAAATGCAAGATGAGGAGGAGGAGGAGGAGGAGGAGGAGGAGGACCAGTGTAGACCCAATAGTCATCAACGGTGTTGGAATAAACCCTCCCTCCGGGCTCCCTCTTCATAGGCCTCGTTGGAAGACAACCGTTTGAAGAGTCTGTAGCATGTCAGAACAGTACTCTCGGGACTCCAACGCCACGGATCAAACTGACTGTTGCGTCTTGACGGTCCTGAATCGTGGCAGAACGCCAATCCTGGGACTTTAGCAATGCGAATCAACGTAACTAACTGTTGCAACCCCGTAATCCTGAATCTTTCCGAAACGCTATTTCTGGTACGTTGACCACGGGGACCCGTGAAACCCTTGCAACTTTTTGAAAAAAGAAAGTTCGCGGCGCTAAAGCGAGAGCCACATGTTGAAAAGGAACCGCCCTCAATCCGTGAAGCTCTGTCAATTTCTGAAAACGAATGTGCGCGGCGCTAAGGCGAGAGCCACATTTTGAAAACGGCCCGCCCTCAATCCGTGAAGCTCTTGCAATTCGTTCGAAAGAATGCGCGCGGCGCTGAGGCGAGAGCCACAATTTGATAACGACCCGCCCTCCATCTGCGGAGCTGTTGTAAATGTTTAAGCTTCAAGGTCATAAGTGGTGAGGAAGTCGCAGACGAAACGCCCGGCCCGCCCTTTCGACCGGCCTCGGGGTGCGGCAAGGAGAAGTTATCTATAAGGAGAAGAAATGGAAGAGCAGGAGGAGGAGGAGGAGAAAAGGAAAGGGGACGAGGCAGAGGGGGAGACAATGCCGTATGATTGGCGCTTAGTATACCAATGTGGCGCACGTGGTGACGGACTTCTTCCGCAGGAGGAGGAGGGGAATGAGGGGGCGTAGGAGGCGCAGGAGTGCTGCAGGCGGAGGAGGGTAGGGAGCGGGATGGGCAGGAGACAGGAAAACGGGGAGGGGCGACCATGCGTGGTTTCCCGAGGCCGGGATCCGAATCTGGAATGGGCGGGCCTCCTTGTACTCCTCGTTCTCGTCCTCCTCCTCCTGCTGCTGCCCTTCTTTTTCTCTTCCTCCTCCACCTCATCCTCCTCCGCCGCCTCTTCCTCCTCTCTCTCTTCTTTCTCCTCCTGCTCCTCATCCTTACCTATCCTCCTCCTTTTGCTGCTTCTCCTCCACGGCTCCTCCCCTCCTCCTCCTGCTGTTGCTCCTGCTGGGCCGTGGTGCAGTGGTGAGGGGATGGGGGAGAGCAGGGGAGGAGGAGGAGGAGGAGGAGGAGGAGGAGGCGGAGGATGAGTAGGAGTAGGAGGAGGAGGAGGAGGAGGAGGGAAGGCGGGTGCTTCACGCCAGGGATGGTCACCACTGTAAGGGAGGTCGCCAGCCCCTCCGGAAGCTCGAGGTCTTCGAGGACCCATGTGCTTTTCCACGACTTGGGGCGTGTTGGGGGGGTCCTGAAGGGCCCTCCTCCTCGAGGCGGTGGCGACCCCCCTGCGGCACCGCCTGGCGAAGGCGTCGCGCCACGGGTCCGCGCGGGCTCCTCACGGCCCGCTCGCGCCCGCCAGCTCCCGCGCGGGCAGGCGCGCCGACTGGTCCCAGGGCCTGGTGGCGGGGGGGGAGGGCTATCCTTGGCCGCGCGTACGGGGGGGAAGTCTCCTTCGAGGGAGGCTGTTTCTTAGGAGATGCATGCCTTACATCTGCAGGCAAGGCCCGCGCCCTCTGAGGAGCCTCCCCCCTCCCTCCCTCCCCCTACCCTCTGAGGAGCCTCCCCCAACCCTCCCTCCCTCCCCCTGCCCTCTGAGGAGCAGCCTCCCCTGCCCTCGAAGGGGCGCCTCCACAATTACTCAATATGAATACTACTCTCCTCCTTCCCCTGATGACGGGTTGGGAATGTTCGCCCCCCCTCCCCGCGTATTGTTTTTTCTACACACAAGATTCCCCGGAATTGGGTTTTCGCCGGCATTTTTTTTCAAAATGCTGCTCTCGCTGAGGCGCCGGCCTCATTTTCGGGCCCCGCTCGTTCCGAATCGTGCTCCCGCTGCAGCGCTGGCCTCATTTCCGTGCTTCCGCTCGTTCCGAATCGTGCTCCCGCTGCAGCGCTGGCCTCATTTCCGCGCTTCCGCTCGTTCCGAATCGTGCTCCCGCTGCAGCGCTGGCGTCATTTCCCGTGCCATGCCACGGCATGCAATGCAATGCTAGGTTGCGTTCCGCTGCGCGATGCCATGCCTTCAGCTGAAGCTGTGATATGCAGTGCTTAAGTGCCACGTCGTGCTATGCCATGCTACGCTTTGATCTTCAACGCCATGCTATGCAATGTTATGTTCGGGGCCGCTGTGCGATGCCATGCTTTGCGTTGCAAAGCTTTGTGATGCAATTCTTCACTACGCCACGCCACGCCATGCTGTGACATACTACGCTTTGCGGTGCTCTTCTACGCCATGCCATGCCGTGCTCTACAATGCATCGCGTACCCTTTCGGGATCATTGCCCTGCTCGACATCCGACTGTGCGAGTAGAGAGGGGATCTACGCCATGGTAAGGGATGGGAGGGAGGGGTAGGATGTCAGATATGACGCGAGCGCACCTAGCTTGCCCCCCCCTCCCCCCCCCTCCTCCCTCCTCCTCCCTCCTCCTCCTCCTCCTCCTCCTCCTCCTCCTCCTCCTCCTCCTCCTCCTCCTCCTCCTCCTCCTCCTCCTCCTGCTCCCTCCTTCCCTCCCCTCCTCCTCCTCCTCGTCCTCCTCCTCCTCCTCCTGCTCCTCCTCCCCCTCCTCCTCCCCCTCCTCCTCCTCCTCCTCCTCCTCCTCGTCCTCCTCCTCTTCGTCCTCGCCCTTTGCGCGTGGCCAACATCCGCGGCCCCGAAGCGGCGCGGCGACAGACCGTGCGTTGAGCCTGGAGGCCCCAGAGCCTGGTCTGGCCTCGGGACCTTTGGCCCTCGTGGCCGCGACCTCGGACGCCCCCACCCCACATCTCAACGGGTCCAGGGACACACACACACATAAATACACACAAATCCCAAAATCCCCCAAACTTTTCAACATTTTCCGGGTTTTCGTCGTTTCCCCCCACTCCCCATATTGTCCCATGTGTTCCTGGGGGTCGACGATTCATTGTGTCTGTGTGTTTCTTTCCCTCCTGAACGTCGCACGAGCCTCGGCTACACGCAAGAGTGATCCTGGGAAAAGGTGACCTTTGGTGCGCGGACTCGTGGGGGCCGCGGGGGGACCAAACAGAAGCGCGCAAGACGCCACTGCCGCCTCGCGTTCAGCGATCGAGGGACCCCACTGGGCCCGCACCCAAGGCCACTCCGGCGAAAGGTCACTCTTGCGGGCCCCCCCGGAGAACGAAACGAGGGCAGGGCGGAACGGGACGGGATCCCCGGCGCGGGGCTCCGTGGGGGGGCTGCCAGGAAGCCGAGGCCTGCTCACGCGTAGATGCGGTCGTCCTCCGGATGGTCCCTGCGCCTCCGACTTCGCAACCTATATATATATATATATATATATATATATGTATGTATACATACATACATACATACATACATATATACATACATACACACATACATACATACATACATACATACATACATCTATGCTTGGCGGATTCCTGGGCGCCAGCCTTACAGATTCACAGCACTTTTGCTCCAGACCGACCATGCTGACAATCTGTGTGATTGCGGCCCAGAGCCGCTCGCATCTAGATGCCACAGCCTCGCAAAGGTTTCCACCGCGAGGCAATCACAACTCCAGTGCAAGTGTAGAAAGGCTCTAACAGCAGGGTGGGACAAAGGGGACCGAGGGAGGGAAGCTTGAGCATTGATGCAACAACGGTCGCAACGGCGCCCTCTCATCCTGACTCGCAGAGAGCACCAGGCACGCCAGAGCAATCTATGCTTGGCGGATTCCTGGGCGCCAGCCTTACAGATTCACAGCACTTTTGCTCCAGACCGACCATGCTGACAATCTGTGTGATTGCGGCCCAGAGCCGCTCGCATCTAGATGCCACAGCCTCGCAAAGGTTTCCACCGCGAGGCAATCACAACTCCGAACCAGAAAGCAAACACTGAAACTTTGCGAAACTCTCACACTGGCCGTCAGGCCACATATCTAGTTAAAGTACAGAAAGCTTTATTCCGCAACGCTTGTTTGTAGGCTCTACTAAGCTCCACGCAGAGCCCTCTGGGATACGGCTCGGCGATGTGGGTGAGAAATCGCCCAGAACTGTCTTTTCCTTCAAGCACCCTATGCGGGCACTTCGAAAAACTGCAAACGCCGCGGCCTTGGCATCGGGCCCCTTTGAGCCCGGCAAGGTCGAAATGACAAAACCGAAGGCGGGTTCGTTTACGCCGCGGGGTTCCGAAAGCGCAAAAATCGACATCTAGATCGAGCACGTTACTGGAACGGGCGAGCGCTTGGGCCCCAGGGAGACTCCAAAGCCAAGAGGTCGAAGGATTCTCGATAACTACAGGGACTCTAAGGGATCTGCACAAGGAAAGGAGGCCAAAGCTGAAACGGGCTAGACGGTTACCACGGGCAACCTTCAGACAGTCGGCGGGATTCAGGTGGGGGAGTCCGAGGGGGTGCTCAGCGTCTCGAAGCGGCGGAGGTCCATTAGGTCGATTACGAGCCCGCGACATTGACTGACACGGAGTAGCTATCCACACACCTAGGAGCATCTTGCTGCGTGCCCAGCCCCTGATCAACTTCTGAATCTTGCTAGACAAGACATCGGCAGCAGCGTCATGAATAATGTCCAGTTCGAAGCAGGCGAGACCCTTCAGGACTAACCGAAACGATCGAGAGAGGTTGCCGCTTCCACTGAAAACTTCCAACATCACTTGCTGTCCAGATTCGTTCGCAAATCGAGCTAGGTCGCGCAGAGGACGGCGCCGATCGTATCGAGGCTTCGCTTCGCGGTGCCCTGAATGTGGTGTGGGAGCATGTTTAACTGTTCTTGAATTCGTCCTCCCTTGGCGTACCGCCTCACGGCCTGATCTGTGGCCCATCGACCTCTCTTTTTCACCTCGTCTTGGGTGTGGGCCCGCGCCGGCAGCTCGTGGCTCGCTCCTCCGTGCCTGAGCTGGTGAAGGGTCAGCGGCAGCAACGGCTGAAGACCACTGTCCCTGGCCGCGGCGGCAAACTTGGCGTTCCACTCGCTGTGCGACACGGGAAAGAGAGGGCTGTTCCTGGGACGCTCGCGCAGCTGCTTTTGGAATAGGCCCGGTAACCAAGGGAAGGCGGGGCTGTCTATCAGCAGCGAGTCGTCGTACACCCCAGTCTTGCTTGCTACCCCGCCTTCCCTCGGATGAAGCGTCACGCTCCAGGTCCCGCGCGGGCCTCCGTGCAGCGCTGACGGCGGCGCCAGGCTGCTGGTGGTCAGGGAGAGCGCCTCCGACGGCCTCAGGTACAGGGCGAAGGCCACGGCCGTGAGTTCTGCAAGCACTCGTTGTCCCGCCTGGACTAACTGGCGGATGACAAGGCAGCAGGCGGCCCACGGCAGCGGAAGCCTCGACCGAGGCGGAGCCAGCTTGCGCCATCCCCGAGCAGCTCGGGTCGCACGCGGCAGGCTGCTGTACTTCAAGCCCAGGTGGCGCCCCGCGAAGGCCAGCGACGCGAAGAGCTTCCACGCGTCCGTGCTCTCGCCCCCCTCCAGGAATTGCTCGTGGAAGTAGATCGCCAGGGTCTCGTCCAGTTGCTCCTCGGTCACCGTCTCCAGGCGCGAGTGCTCGGCCCAGAGGTAAAAGCTGTGAGCTCGCCTCTCGTAATCCCGGCGGGTGGCGGCGGACGCCGACTCCTGCTCCAGAAACGAGTGGCTCTCTCCGGGCTTCGGAACGATATCCCGGCTGTAGCCCTGGCGGCGCTGCAGGCGCCTGGCAGCGCGGCGGTCGCTCTCCGCGCGAGCTCGGACAGCAAGGCTCGTCGTAGAGGCTGACGCCCGGCGGCGGCGAGACGAAGCCACGGTCGCGTTGGTCCTCGGTCCTCCCCGACCTCTCGGCAAGCCGCCCGTCACCTGAGCAAGGGCTGCTGCGCCTGGCATCCCCGGCGGCCGCTCGATCAGCTTCAGCTGTAAGGCCAGGCCGATTCCGCGAAGCTGAGTCAGCACTGTTGTGCTCAGAGGGCACCCAGCGCCAGACGACGCCACAGCCACTGCACAGCGCCAGCGCTGCGACCTGACGGCGTACTCGCTGAAGTGGCGCCGATGAGGACCGGCCCTTGAGCAAAGCCAGCAACGGGGCCATAGAGTCATTCAGGATGACATGAGTGTGTCTGAAGTTCCGAGAGCTCCGAAGAAGATGCTTTAGACAGCTGACCAGAGCCCTGCCCTCAAGGATGACCTGGGGCTCCTCGCGCTCCCAAGGCTTCAAGAGAACGCGCTTCCAGACACCGCCCCAGACCTCCTTCGAGACGCTCCTGAACTTGGCCTCTGGGGGCTTCGGGAAGACCTTGATGGGCTCCTCGAACAACAGGCCGTGCGAGGCCTTCAGGACATGGTAGGGCTCTGTGACACCCCGGGCTCGTCTTGGTCTCCTCGGTCTCATCCTCCCACATGCCGATGTCGAAAGCTCGGGGAGGCATCGACTTCTCGTTGTCTCGCCCAAACCTCCATCGCTCGTTGAAGGACGACAACTCGACGACCTGATCGTGCGCGAAATCCTTCTCAGTGATTCCAAACCCCCACCACGAGGCATCCACACAAGAAACCACCTTTGAGAGAGGCCTGCCTGCGTTTCTGAAACATAGGACCAACAAGGACCTACACCACCGCAGTTCACGTCGAACGGGTCCCCAAAGACGTAAAGACCTATGACCTGCTACGCGGATGAACGAGTACACGGCACTCAGAGCGCTCAGAAGTTCCCGCCTGATGAGGCCCCGAGAGGTGTAGTGCGATATGACCCTCCGGAGCGTGTCCCCAGTACAGCGGTCTTGCCTCAAGATCTCCTGGATGCCCAGACGTAACCTCCACCGTAACCGAGGATTCAACCCGATGACAGCATCATTCGAACCAAACTCCCAGCCCAAAGTCTGACCACCTACTCCCTCCTCGACCTCATGCGTAGGCAACCCGACTCGATTCGGTTCGCGGCCTACGGCCCTGGCGATGTCCCCGGCGCGCTCCATAGACCGTGACAGTGAGACAAAGTTGTCAACGTACTCAGTGTGTATGAAATCATTGCTCAAACTCGGGGCTGGTCTACGATCAACAAGGAGGTTATGTGTACTGATGCCCGGGACTAGAGAACTGATGTGCTCATTCAAGGTCTGGCAGATCCAAAGGCTCACGCTCCAACCCATGGGCGGACATCGGAAACATGGAACCACCTTTTGCGAGGGATGCACAGGGGTACCCTCGCCAACGTGAGAGAGATTGAAGTCGCCTGCTCTGACGGGCGGGAGGCCGAAGTATTTTTGCAACCATGGAGGCAACAGGATGTTGTAGAAAGCATCGGCGATGTCCACGCCCGCCACTGCGATAGGGCCATCCCCGTCTACGGTGATCTGGCTGAAAGCACCGCCTGAGGCCAACTCAACCTTGTCGGCCTCGGCGAAGCGCAATGACGAGTAGCGGCCATCTTAGATTATCCTCAGATCGCCATTTTTCTTGTGAACGAAAAAGAGCCCGACCGAGCACTCGCAGTCCAGCTGGAAACTCACCAGGTTAGAGTCCACCAGCCGTCGAAGCACTCGCTGATACAGCTGAGGGTTACGAAGGTTGGGATCAACGTATAGCCGACGTGGTCCCTCAGTACGGATGCGGTCCAACCCCTGTTCTCGGGGTAGCAGCAAATCTTGTAAACGATTGGCGATCTTCCGGCCCACATCACCAGCCAAATGCTCTAACGTCTGTGGAGAAGTCGTAGCCGCAGGCAGAGAAATGCGGTCGACGTTGTCGAAGCCAACCGGGGCGATGGCCACGGCCTCCCCGTGGTGCGCCTGAGACACCCGAAGCTCCGCAAGGGCTCCTGGGCCGTCGAGGTCCAGCGGCGGCTCTCCGAAGCGGCGGACCGCATCTTCCAGCTCCCGGTGTACCTCGGCATGGACAGCAAGCAGCGGCTCACCAGCGGCGCGACGCGGAAGGTCGTCATGTCCACTTCCACCCAGGTACATGTCGTTGAGAGTCACAACTATCTCATTCACCATGTCGAGCCTGTGGTGGCGGCGGTGTACCCGCCGAGCAGCTGTCCGAGAAAGGGTCTTCGTGTTCTGAAGCGCTGTGGAGGAAGAAGCAGGATCAGGGCGAAGAGGAATCGGGAAGACATCGCGCTGGCGACCATCCCGGCGAGAAGAATAGCGGCCCCCACGTGCATCACTGACTCCAGGCGGGGAGACTGAAGCCGCCCTCTGTTGCATCTCGGGCGGGTCGAGGGGCATCCCGTCCGAGGTCACTCTCATTGCCCCGAGAGGGCGCGGCGCTCCTCGCGCGCTTTGCGCAGCGACTTGAGGATGCCCGCGTCCCTCTCTACCATGGCGGACACGTGGCGTAGAAGGTCAGGACACACCATCATCCTCCCATCCTCCTTCGATGTCCCGGCGAAGGCGGAGGCCTCGTCTAAGAAAGCAAACTTGGCGAAGCCGCGGCCGCGACCGCGTCCCTTCTTGTTCTTGTCCTCCGATGCCTGAGGGGCCGCGTGTAGTGAGACCTCCGCCTCCATCGCGTACGCGTGCTCGTAGAGCTGTGCCTGTCGCATGGCCACCTCGACGCCCACGAGGTCTGGAAGATTCACCTGATCCCAGCAGGCTAGGAACTCGATCATCCTCATGATGCTCTCGTAGTGGGCCACGCCGTAGTCATCGTTCGTCAAGTGGTACTGACTCTTGAACTGCGTGAAGTGCTCCAGCGGGCCCCCGCGGCGTCGGTCGATGAAGACGAAGCGCCGCGCAGCCGAACGGGGGCCCTCCAACGGCCATCCTGGAAGCGGCGTCTGCTCGAACTTGGCGACAGCGTCCCGAAACTGGATCCGAGTGCGATGGCCGTCTGACTGCAGTGCGATCCCCAGGAGCCTGGCGTCAAGTCCAGCCTCAGCGCCAGCGTAGAGCGCCAGGCTGAGCGACACCCGTCGGATTCCGATCCAGCCCTTGTCGGTCCTCGTGATCCCGACGTCGCCTCCGAGTCGCTCCGTCCCATTCAAGGCCACAACCGTTCCGCGGTCTCCCGCGGCGGTCGTCTCCGTCATCACCCACTCCGGAGCAGCAGGAGCCGCGAATGGACCTGGGCCCGCGACCGCCCCAGGGGCCGCCGCTGCCTGCCCAGGTGCTCCAGCACCCACGGGTTGAGCAGCGGCCGCACCACCAACAGCGACCCCAAGACCAGGTCCCCGCGCGGGCCCTACGCCCACCAGAGCGGCCGCACCTTCAGCGTTGCCCCCAGCAGCGCCACCGTCGGCACCGACCAGCTGCTGCCCAGCTCCCGCGCCGCGCAGCCCGAAGTCGAAAGCCCGCAGCGCGCCCCCAGCAGGCAACGCAGCAGCGCGGCCTCCAGCGGTCTCCCGAGCCAGGTAAGTCTCGTCGGCCACCTGAATCACCGCCGCCATGATTGCGGTCTCCTCATTCACAGTCAAGCGTCGCCTGAACCCGTACAGCAGCCCTGCATCCAGACCTCCGCGGTCACGACGAGTGTCCACGAATCGAACGCCCAGAATGTCAGCGCTGTCCCTGCTATAATCTTCTTCATAGACATCGTGATCAGGCGTGCTGCTGATCAGCAGCAGACGAGTCTGAGGTCCAGTTGGCGGATCCTCTACTTGCCCCCAGATCCGACGCTGATGCCACCGCCGCTCGCCGGCGTATAGCACCCACGCCCAAGGGCGGACGTCCGCCGGCGGGGCGACCATTGTCGATGGCGGCAGGAGATCGGCGGCCTGGTAGTCGCCAAGAGCACACGTTCTTCAGGCAAGAATATCCCAGGAGCACCGCCGCCTGCACCAAAGCGATCAGCACGTGGAGCCACAGGGCCACGAACTCGCCCAGCCAGCCGCCCGACTCCGAAGAGGCCTCGGTCGGTCCTGACGTTGGATCCTCACCCGGAGCAGCGGCGCCAGAAGGCCCAGAGGCAGCAGCAGACTCCGCCGCAGGCGGCGGCACAGGAGGTGTTGAGCTCTGACCTCCGCCGGCGGTCCCGCCGGCCTGCAAGGGACTCAGGCCCGTCGGACACTGCAGATGCGGGCAGCTGGGACAGTGCAAGGTGGGGCACGATGGGCAGCCAGGGCACGCAGGACAAGGCTGCGTCCGCCACCAGTATGCCGTGAAGAGCTGAGTGACGGCGCCCACGAGCCAAAACCCGTTGCGGAGTCCAAGCATCTGGACGCCACAAAAGCTTGAGCATTGATGCCGCAACGGTCGCAACGGCGCCCTCTCATCCTGACTCGCAGAGAACACCAGGCACGCCAGAGCAATACATATGTATATTTACATACATACACATGTATATGTATATATGTATATATGTATATGTAGGTGTATACATATATGTATGTATGTATGTATGTATGTATGTATGTATGTATGTATGTATGTATGTATGTATGTATGTATGTATGTATGTATATATGTATGTATATATGTATATATATGTATATATATATATATATATATATATATATATATATATATTATATATATATATATATATATATATTCCTCTTCCTATATTTTTATAAGCCTGGGCGGGGGGAAAACCCATCCCCCCCCAAAAACCGGACTCCCGGGATCTGGGGCTTTGGGACCCTCCAGACGGGCCTCGAAGCGGCCCCCCTGGCCTCGCAGGGCGTTTTGCCAAGCCTCCCCAGCACACCTAGGGCGATCAGGGGGGTCATCGGAGACGTCTCAGATACCCCCATGACAGCGCAAGAGCGCTCCACGAGTGACCGACGTGACCGTAAGATGGCCCAAGAGGCCTCCAGGACGGCCCCAAAGAGGCCTCCAAGAGCACTCCCAAGAGGCAAAAATCATTGATTTTCTGTGAGTTTTTGGCGAATTTTTGGGATCTCCTCTTTTCGGCTTCCCGACGCTCCAAGACGGCGGTTTTCTGGGCGTCCGAAGCCACCTGGGAGGCTCCAAAATCGCCCCACAACCATCCGAAAGGGCTTCCAGGCAGTCCAAGAGAGCCCCAAAACGGCACAACACGGGTCCAAGATGGCCCTCAGAGAGCCCCATGGCGGCCCAAAATGGCCCCAAGACACCCTCCGAAGCATTCCAAATCGTGACCCGGTCGTTCAGGGAGACCGTGGTTGGAGGCAGGGTGACCCGAGGAAGCCCCCAGAGGCCCCCAGGATACGCCCAGGAGGCCTCCAGAATTCCTTAAGAAAGCCTGAAACATATTTTTTAAGGCCCCCAGAGGCTCTCCCAGGAGGAGCCTCCGCAAAAAAAAGCTGAGGAGGATAGGGAGAATGCGCAGGGTATGGCGAACATGACGAAAAAGAGGCATGGACAAAGGATAACGAATCTCATTATCATAGCGGCGATGTCGGAAAAGGCAACAAGGAGTTATCGCTAAATTGTCGGCTTGATCTTCCTGCTATTCCGCCTGCAAACCAAACTTCAAGGACCAAGGTGCATGGCGCGAAGCGCCACTGCAGTCTTGTATATATGTATATATATATATATATATTCCTCTTCCTATATTTTTATAAGCCCAGGCGGGGGGAAAACCCATCCCCCCCCAACAAAAACCAGACTCCCGAGATCTGGGGCTTTGGGACCTTCCGAACGGGCCTCGAAGCGGCCCCCCGGGCCTCGCAAGGCGGTTTGCCAAGCCTTCGCAGCACACCTGGGGCGATCAGGGGTGCCCTCGGAGACGTCCCAGAGACCCCCAAGACAACACAAAAGCGCTCCAAGAAGCCGTCAACCCCCCCAAAAGATCGCCCCAAAACGTTCCAAGAGGCCTCCAAGAGCACCCCCAAGAAGGCCCCAAGAGGGACAAATCATTGATTTTACGTAGGTTTTAGGTGAATTTGGGGTTCTCCTCTTTTCGGCTTCCCGACGCTCCAAGACGGCGGTCTTCTGGGCGTCCGAAGCCGCCTGGGAGGCTCCAAAATCGCCCCACAACCATCCGAAAGGGCTTCCAGGCAGTCCAAGAGAGGCCCAAAACGGCACAACACGGGTCCAAGATGGCCCTCAGAGAGCCCCATGGCGGCCCAAGATGGCCCCAAGACACCCTCCGAAGCATTCCAAATCGTGACCGGGGCGTTCAGGGAGACCGCGGCTAGAGGCAGGTTGGCCTGAGGAAGCCCCAGAGGCTCCCAGAACACGGCCAGGAGGCCTCCAGAAGGCTTTAAGAAAGCCTGAGAACTTTGGTGAGGCCCCCAGAGGTTCTCCAAGGAGAAGCCTCCGCAAAAAGAGCTGAGGAGCACGGGGAGCATGCCCAGGGTATGGCGAGAATGACGAAAAATAAACATGGAGGGAGGATAACGAACAACATTATTATAATGGCGATGCCAGAAGAGGCAGCAAGGACCTTCCTGCCATTTCCGCCTGCATACCAAACTTCAAGGACCAAGGTACATGGCGCGAAGCGCCACTGCAGTCTTGTGTATATCTATATATATATATATATATATACATATATATATATACTTCTTCTAGCGGACCCCCCCTGACCCCCCCCGTACAAAATTCGGCCCTGGGCGCTCTTACCGACGTCACATTCGAACTTCGGTTTCGGGAGCCTCTCCCGGCCATCCCCGGACGGCCCCGCAAAGCCCCAAGGCGGCCCAAGACCGCGCCAGAACGGCTCATGAGCGCTCAAAGAAGCCTCACGGTGGCTTCAAGACGGCGGAAGATGCTCTCAAAACGCTGCAAGAGGCCCCCAAGAAGACCCCAGGAGGTTAAAATCGCCCCGTTCCCTTCGGAAAACGTGCATTTTTAGCATATCTGCTTCTTTGGCCTTCGCCGCGTCCAAGACGGCCCAAGAGGCCCCCAAGATCGCTCCAGAACGGCCCAAGAAGTCCACAAGGGAACCCCAAGACAGCCCCGAAGGGCTCCAAAACTACCTAAGAGAGCCCCAAGACGGCCCCAAAGAGCACCAAAAGGCTTCCCAGAGAGCCCCAAGAAGGCCGCAGGAGGCTCCCAAGAAGAACCAAGAGGGCCCCAAGACGGCCCAAGCCCCCCAGGACGGCCCAAAAGGGTCCCGAAACGGCCCAGGAGGGCCGCCAGACAGCCCAAAAGAGCCTCAAAAGGAGCCCCACGGGGGGTCCGAGAGGTCATACCCCTATCAGCCATATGAGGCGTATCGGCCCCACAAGCCCCACAACCACTATGGTGCCTCATGGTGCCCGATGAGCCCTGTGAGGCCTGGGAACCCTAACGCCTCCAAAGCTCTCAGCCCCACACGCTGCGAGACCCCGAAGGCCCCCCCCCCAACTCATAATCCAGATCACGGATGTGCCGCCATGGACGGTGCGGCGGCATGCACACGTTGGTTCTTCACCGTCGGTGTAGCGGTGAAGCGGCATGCACACGTTGGCTCTTCACCGTCGGTGGAGCTCCCTGTGGGGTGCGGTCCATGTGAAGGGACATTCGGCACACATGTGCGGAATGTCCCCTTCACATGGACCGCACGAGCCCTATGACTCCAATGAGCTCTAGGAGCCCAATGAGCCTTAAGAACCCTACGAGCACATGAACTCTCCGAGCTCCATGAGCCCCATGAGCCTGATGAGCCCTCTGAGGCCTATGAGCACTAGAAGCCCCATAAACTTCATGAGCTCACGAACCCCAGGAGCCCGATGAACTCAATGAGCCGAGCCCCATACCTCCCCACCCCTCTACGACACCATATGAGCGCGATGACCCCTATGAGACCTATGCGCCCTATGAGCCCTAGAACCCCCTCAGCACCAGGAGCTGTGAAGCCTTGCGAGACCCATGATACCCCCCTCTGAGCCCTACGAGCCCAGTGAGCCGTATACGGCCTGTGGGCCCTATGAGCCCTATGGCCCCGACTTGCCCTTTCACCTCAATCGGCCCTATGAGCCCTACGAGGCCTACGCGGTCTGTTAGCGCTATGGGCCCTATGGCCCCCAGGAGCAATGCGAGCTGCATGAGCCCAGTAGCCCCCAAGAGTTGATGACTCCAAGGAGCCCCAGGACCATTATAAGCACCATGGCCCTCCTATGACTTTCGTGACCTCTGTAAAAACCAATCCGCATTATGAGCCCCGTGCCCGATGTGCACGAACAATCCTAGGACCCCAACGAACTCCATGAGCCCTGTGAGCCCTGGAGCCGCATCGGCAGCATTATCCCTCGCCTAAAATGGGGGCTCAGAGCCCCTGGGCCCCATGACGGCAGAGACCCTTCCTGAAATCTTTGAGCCGCAATATTCCCAGGGTCCTATCAGCCCTGTTTGCTCCATGGTCTCCATGGCCAGAACACACCGCGGCTGTGACGACAACCGATCTCATCGCGCCTGCCTGGCGCCATGCGACCAAGATTTCAAAAGGCGAAGCGCAACGAACCTGTAACATCTTGTATATATATATATATATATATGTACAGGACTGCATTGGCGCCTCGCGCCATGCGCCTTGTTCTGGACGCCTCCCTGGCAAAGCAATAAATCATCGCTTTCTTCAGCAGGGAGGACCTCGAGGCCTGGACG